CTCATAGGTTGTGATTTATGAATTATAGACAAGGAGGAGTCCTATACACTCATAGGTATATGAGTGGGTTGGGATTTTTAGTCAAGGATATTGACTATTACTATTTTCCCACACAAAACGGTGATCTACGGATCAGGTATTTTCCAAGTGTATATATACTAATAAGTATTTCATAACTTGGGGGGAGGACTATTTATGTAAGTATCACCCTATGTTTAGGTCTTATACTTGAAACGCTAGTTGTTCTTCATTTAGCCTGCTACTCGCTCGATACTTGTACTGATCCCTTCGGGGGCCCCACCATTTTCAAATTGAAGCTAGAGCTTGCTACCTGCACCTTTCTACGGGTGATATCAATTCATGGGAGACGTGGTTCATGCTTCTTTATTTTCTTTCAAACTACCAAACATTTGCTCTTGGATATTTGAACTTGTTATGAACTGTTTTTGGGCTTGCATGCCCATGTATTGGCTGAATGTGACTTATGTTTTGCCATTGAATATTTCCTTTATTCATTGGTTTAAATGTGATGTTGCTATGTATGTTTACTACTGAGTATGGATGAATTATTTTATCGAACGCCTTGTAAGGTTAAGTGAGGTCGGTGGACTTGCGAGTGACGTCACTTGATTATACGGCGGTTGTACGCGCGCTTAGATTGCGGCCCGGGCCGTGACAGTATGTATGGATGCATGCATGCATGCATGTATGTATGTATGTATGTATGTATGTATGTATGTATGTATGTATGTATGTATGTATGTATGTATGTAGACCAAATTACCGTGGGAGGGCCCAATTACCAGTATCAATTACCGATACTGGTAATTGGGCCTCAATGGCCTCAATAGATCTTTGTATGTAATAATTATATGGTCGTGGATATGTCATTTGGGCTATGGGAGGGCCCAGAGTTGACCGATTGGTCAATTGAGGCCCAATTACCAGTATCGGTAATTTAACAGATAAAAGTCCGAAATGAATTTCGGAGGCTTATAAATTTAAGTTGGGGATGTATATTCATTATAGTGGTCATAGTGTTTGAGAACATGTAATATATTTTATTTGACCCGATAAAATAAAATATACTTAAAACAGCTCGAAAAATACAACTTTCGGGGCCGATTATACACTTTGGGACAAATTAGGAGGACCTCCCACATGGGTGGGGGCCACCCCAAGAATTTTTCAACCATTGAGGGCTGTATGAGTGCAAAAAGTGGATGAGAAACATTTGAAGGGATGGGGGAGACACCTTTGACATCAAAAGGGTCCCTCTCACTCTTATTTGCCAAATGAGACAAAAGGAAACCCATCCCCCCTTTCCCTCATCATTGTGGTTCGTCCAGCACGAAGGAGAGGAGGAGAAGAAGATCTGAAATCTCAGCTTTCATAACCAAACCGAGCTCAAGCTCAAACAAGAAAAAAAGAAGTTTAAGGGAGAAAAGAGAGGAAAAGGTGTGGTGATTAAGGTAATGACCTTATATTAGTTTTTCCTCTATTCTTTAACTATCATATGGAATATATATCATATGAAGGACCCTTAGGATTGTTCTACATGTTTTGAGTGTGGAATAATGGGTTGGAATGTGGTTCTAAGTCCAAAAACGGACTTAGAAGCTAAAACGACCGGTTCACCGAAAAATAACCTTTAAGAGGTTATTTGTATTGATTAAGGTTTTATGATGTTAAAACCTTGTTAGGGACTTGATCGAGGTATTTCAAGGTCTTTCACAAAGTTGAAAGAGTCGCCGGAGTTGTCGCCGAAGTTCGTTAAAAGTCGCCGGAGTTTCGCCGGAGTTCAACCAAGAGGGGTAGAATTCATAGCGTTAATTCGAGGTGAGGATGACCGACTATATTGCTTATAATCTTTGGGTTAATTTAATGAGATTTCCAAAATGAATACAAAATGTGATTTGCATGGATTATTAATGGTTAATAATGCCTAAATGAAATTACTATTGATTATAAGTATAGTATGCATAATATACAAATTTATGAATAAATTGTGTATGTTTATGTGTTATGAATATGATGGTATGATGGTTGTATTAACCATGAATTTCATTTGTGATAAATATACTTTTATTTCATGAGAAGAAGCCATGAAGGTATAAAAGTGATATTTTGATATTAAGACCAAATTACACATGAATGAAGAATTATATTGAAATGAGTAAATAACTAGTATTGAAATATTAGTTGGAAATGTTATTGGAATAATGGATGAATTAGATCCAAGGAAATTAGATTGTAAAGAATCGGTGATTATGAGCTGGGATCTAGACCGACGTAGGGAATCGGTGATTATGAGCCGGGCTCTAGATCGATGTAGATAACGGTGATTATGAGCTGGGCTCTAGACCGTAGTAGATAACGGTGATTATGAGCTGGGCTCTAGACCGTAGTAGATAACAGTGATTATGAGTTGGGCTCTAGACCGTAGTTGATAACGGTGATTATGAGCTCGGCTCTAGACCGTAGTAGATCAGATAACGGTGATTATGAGCTGGGCTCTAGACCGTAGTAGATAACGGTGAATTGACATTAAATGAACGAGGCTAACTACAATATAATAACACCCTAGTTTGAGGGTCTTAGAAGTTGAAACATTGATTATACTTAGTATAGTTGTCATTGTACTTTTCAAATGCTTCAAAGTACTGACATCCCCTTCACGGGGGAGGCCACCTCACAGTTTCAGGTAGAACTTGAAGGTTGCTACCCTTGCCATTGATTCATAGAGGCCGAGGGAGAGAAGACGTGGTTCGTGCTTTCTCCATTCCTGTTTTAAAACAATTACATTTAATGCTCATGAATATTATTTTTTCTAAATAACCTTGGAGGGCTTGCATGCCTAATTTGCCAAGTGTGGCTTTAATGAATGGTTTTACATTATGTTGGTTTATGGATGTACTACGTGTGAACGATATTCCAGACGCCTTGTATAGCATGAATGTGTTGAATTGCGGTTGACTATTCGTACTGTACGACGGGTTGTTGACGTGTCTGGCGGGTCCGGGGCGTGACAATATGTATGTATGGATGTAGGATGCATGTATGTATGCATCTATGTATGCGTGGATGTATGCGTGGATGTATGCATGTATGCATGTATGTATGTATCTATGTATGTATGTATGTATGTATGTATGTATGTATGTATGTATGTATGTATGTATGTATGTATGTATGTATGTATGTATGTATGCATGCATGCATGCATGCATAGATGCATGCATGCACGGATGCATGCATAGATGCATGCATGCACGGATGCATGCATGTAAGTATGGATAACTCTCGCTTTACTACATGTTTTGCTGTATTTTTAGGTCCTAACATTTTGTCCTGGAAATCCAAAAAGTTTATAAATCTTCACGAGATGTCGACCTTCGTGCTATTGCTTATATTGTTTAAGACAATCTTCAAATTTGTTATGTGTTGTTTGAACTTGGCTTTCCAATCATGGTACCTGTACATTTATTATGTGAAAAAAATTTATGCTTCTTATTTGAGTGCTAATCCTGTTTAGCATGCCCAGAGTAAGCACATCAAAATAGACCATCATTTTGTTCGAGAATGTGTAGCCCATGGTGATATGGTGGTTCAATATGTCTCTACTCATCTTCAGCTGGCATATATCTTTACCAAGAGTGTCCCTACTCAACGTTTTCATTTTTTTAAAAGACAACTTGCACGTTGTTTTTCTTGCACAGTTTGAGGGAGTGTAATAGTATAGACTATAGAGACATTTATGCATTTTAAGTTGAATTATGTTATCATAAATATATCTTCCAAGGCTCATTAGAGAGCAACATGTTCCATTCTATCAAAGTTAATTGCTGGATTGCTGCTTGATTAGGACCAATTTTCCTATTACTTGATTTTTGCTTCAATTTTCTTCTTTGTCTTCAGATTTGTTTTATCAGATTTTTTTACTATTGTTTTTTCGGTTTTCTCTTTCAATTTTGCTTTAGCTTTCGTTCCTTTGAAATTTAATTTATATTTTACCTTACATATTAGATATTTTGATATTTGGTTTCAATCAATATATTTTGAATAGAATTTGAAATTTCCATATTTGCTATTCTCACGTAATTGTTATGATATTAAGATAGAAAACATTATTCTTTTTCAAATACACATTAACAATGACATGTTTTTCCATGTAAAAGTATTCTTTTGACACATGGTGCCATTTTTTATGATACTAAAAGGGAAATGAGAGAAGGGAGAGAAGATAGCGGAGACAAGAAATGGATATAAGGGCATCCTCACTAGTCATTGGTAGGATTATTATGAGATTAAATTGGTGGCATGACGTTTTTTTAGAGAATTATCGTTGATGGCATAAATTGTTTAACATGATTATTTGCTACAATAATCTGGGATCAAAATATAAATCCGGATTATTTTAAAATTATTTGAAAAGTATATGTAACAGAGATTAATGCAGGACAAAGAAAAAACAGATTATTTGAAGATGATGGTTGAGAGACATAAACGAATTTTGAGATTATATTATTTTAAAATTAATTACATAACAATATTTAAATGTTAAGAATCGTAAAAAAATTGATTATTAGAGATTATGAATGGAGATGTTCTAAGACTACAGATGCAGATGAAAAAAAGTGGGATATAAGGAAATTAACTTAGGATTATTGTAAAGAGATTATAATTGGAAAAAGAAATAGCTAAATCAATTAATAACTCATATTTATAGTCAAGCATTTTGAGTAGAGCATTTTGAGAATTGAAACTAGAGACACTTCAACAAAGATGACACTTTGGTGTAGAAAAAACAAAGATGACATTTAATGATATATAAAAAAAATCTATTGTACCCATTTTTGTACCCACAACCTATTTTGCCTGTGTATATAGACAATTCGTTAAAAAGAAGACAACATTTGTCTTCCAATTGCCTATGTACACAGACAATGTATAAAAGTGAGTACACCTAGAATGACTCTAACAATATTATTGGTGCCAATTTATTTTTAATTTTCAAGGATCATCTCAGTTGAAGGATAAGACACAACGTGTAGCTTCTTGGCCTTGAACAGCAAATTAAAGCCGCAGAAAACGCCTTCAAAATCATGCTCATCCACCAATTCACTACGCCCCCCACTCGATTCACTTGCAAATCGCACCATATCCCTTTCCAATCCTTCGCAATAAAAGCCAGCACTGCCAGCGGCGGGAACGATCAGCCTCCGCCATCTCCACCACCGAGCAGTCCGGGGATACGGTTTCGGAGAGAGTCCAGAAAACGAAGACGGCGGCAGCAGCAGCAACATGAGGTCACCGGAAACGGCGGGGTGGGGATGAGACCGAAAACGCCGGCCCCCAAGGAGTGGGAATCAATGAGCCTCAGTGAAAAAGCGGCGGAAATGTACATGGGGGAGAAGGGTTTTCTATTCTGGCTCAACAAATTCGCTTACGCTTCCATCTTCATCGTGATTGGCGGATGGATTATTTTCCGGTTCGTGGGTCCCGCCCTCAACCTCTACCAATTGGAAACTCCTCCCCTTGCTCCAGAGTCTCTGCTCAAGGGTTCGTAAAAGGTTTGAAACAGAGACCGATGAATCTAAAATTTGAATTTTCTGGGCAAATCTTTTAGGCTTGTAGCCTTTAAACTATCTGTATCAATTGTTGAAGTAGGCTACACACCTATTAAAGAATGTCCTATGAGTTCTTCTATCCAACAAGATTTCTCTCTTGCAGTTTGCCTCATCCAAGAAGAGTGCACTTCATTTATGGTAATCTCAAGAAAAGAGTCACCTTCTGACTTACTAATGATAGCTCCTTTAACATTACTATGCAATTCCTCAAATGAATCCAAGTGAGATTAAAACTGTTTTATGTTTCAGCAATGGCTAAATTATGAGCAACTAGATTGGCTTCTCTAAATTTGTGATGACCTTTTGCTTCTCTAAAACTGATTTTGTTATCTTTTGCACACCTTGTTTTGTATACAATACATACAACTTCCATTGTTTTTTTTTTTTGCATTTTAGATGAATTGACACAGTCAAATTAGCCATTGGGCAAGACAATTTTGAATAATTTTCTCAGTTGTCAAGGGTTTGTTTGCCAAAATGATCTGCCAAAGCTGCAATGAATCAATTTATAAAATCTTTTCTGTTGGCAAGATAGGGAGCACCATTGCTTCACCTTGCAGACTTAAGGAGATCTTAAGAGGGAAGCGCAGCAGCAATATAAACTGGCCATCAAAACAGTTTTCATGAACGCCATATATGGCGTACACCATTTGTAGCACCATTCTCTTTTTGTAATTTTTTTTCTTTCAAATGTGACCCAAAGTTTTGATTATTATAGTTTTGACCCATTTTTAAAACAGCAAATTAGGAAGTTTTACTTGGACTGAAATTTGTTGGTCTGGTCTGATTTGGTCTGGTCTGGTCTGAATTGATGTGGTCTGGTCTGATTTCTTTGTATTTTTATAACTACCCAAGTTTGGTCTAATCCGGTTTGATCTGATCTGAAACAAATTACAGTCCAAGTAAAACCGTCCTTATACAACAACTATAAAAACTATTAATTTGATAAAAAAAATATAATAACATTTAAATCACACAATATTATAAATAAAGTTTCAAATCCAAACAACTTAATAACAGAAAACAAATGGTACTTAAGAAAATAACATAATTAAAATTACAATGAATAACGTGATATACATGCACCAGTTGAAGATGTGAGAGATACATCAGTTCCAGATGTTGAAGTGGCAGTTGATGAGGCGGCACAGTTCACTCAATTTCTTAGCCGACATAACCAAATTCACGACAAAGACGCTCATATTGAGCTCCGCAATGCTTTATATGATCATTTGTGGGAACAATTCTCAAATTCTAATAACTAAACTATGAATATTTATTTAATCTATTGCTTTAAGTTTAAGTAGTACTTTACTAATGACGTACAAATTATTATAATATTATTGTAATGTTTAATTTTATGTGGTTTTAGCTTGTATTTGTGAAATATTGATTATTGTGTTTAAATTAGTGAAATGCGTGAAAATACATATTAAAATGATGTATTTTAGTTTGTATGTGTGAAATAATGTGTGAAATGTCAAAATATTAAATGAGGGGCTAATGTATAAATATAAGATAGTTAGATACTTAAATAGAATAATGGTAAAAAGTTAGTAAAAAGAATAAAAAGAGAATATTCCTTTTTTGTGATAAAAATGGTGTAAACTGTTGGAGATAAAATACTGTTTGATGTGATGTTTACACCATTTTAGTGTAAAAAATGGTGTTAACTGTTGGAGATGGCCTAACCATCACTTAAGTCACATACTACTATCAGTCGCGGACCGACTAAGGGTCACATGCAGTCCCGGGATCAAACTTCCAAAAAATTACACACACATTGGAAAAAGATCATGTCCATCCAGATGGACAAGAGGCGCCGTCCGGCCCCTGCTGTTTGGGGTTGTTCCCAGTGGTATTTTTGATGAATTTTTTTAGCTTGTTCCTCATTATGTATAGTTTATCCACAAAAAATTTCAGCTTAAAATTTGATTGGGAAGACAGGCAAACAATTTTTAGGAAAATAATTGCGTTTTATAAGTATAATTTGACGCAGTTATCTTCAAAAAATTATTTGACAGTCTTCCCGATCGATTTTTTTGTGGATAAACTAAACTTGGTGAGAAACATCCTCAAAAAAATTCATCAAAAAATTCCATCGAGAACCGCCCCAAACGGCGGCGGCCGGACGGCGGCTCTTGTCCCTCCGGCTAGACAGGATCATTTCTATGCATCAAAATATACATATAACACAGTAAACTTCAAAAAATGATTTGAATGCCTTCCCGATCGAATTTTAAGCTGAAATTTGGTATGGACAAACTAGACTTGATGAGGAACATGCTCAAAAAATTTCATCAAAAAATTCTACCGGGAAGGGCCACATACGGGCATGTTCGGACGGTGTTCGGACCAGAAATGTTCGGACCTCAACATTCTTCTATATATATTATATTTTATATAAAATTATACAATATATGTATATACATAAAACTATAAATGAACTAAAAGCATGGAGCAACGGAACGGGAAGCGATGCGATTTAAAGCTTCCTTTGCTACACAGTTATGCTATTATTATTTCGGAATTTGCACACTATTTTTTCTGAAATTGAAAGTATTGCTCTTGATTTTGGCTGAATCATGGTGTTAAACATACTTTAGAGATTTCAAGAGAAGAATTGAAAGTGTTTGCTCTATGTCAGCATAAAAGAACTCATAAAAGAATCCATTGGAGACTTAAATCCTCTCACGCTTTTAAAATTGATGATGTGAAATTTTTTTACGATGTCAAAAGAATAGTAATGTGCTCTCAGGTAACGCTTAATCAGTTGAGGTTGACGCTTTGTTCAAGGTGTTCACCAATTATTGACTACTCTCATATACTTATGATGAATATACAAGCTTAATGAGTTAGTGTCGATTACTTGTGTCTTACAAATAATTTGAAATTCACACTCCAGCGATTTGTATTTTAGGGAGTGTTTTGCATTGCTTATAAAAACGGGTTTCAACTTATAGTTTTAAAAGTTAAAAATACTCTGTAGTGTTTTCAAACAGTTATTTTCTACTTAGATTAAGTATTTTAAATTTAAATGAAAACACGAGAAAGAGAATTTTAAACTATTTTTCACCTTTTCTACCACTCGTTTTTTTTATTACCAAAAACTAACTCTTACTTTTCCAAAAATATTTTTTCTCAAACAATACCTACATTTGTTTTTATCACGTTTTATATACCCCGTAGTAATTATTAATGACATTTCAAATATAGAAGTAAATAAGTAATTAAAATATTATCTTGATCTTCAACCTCACAATTGAGTTTTTGAACATACAAGGTTAAAAAAGAAGGGTGTTGTTGGGTGTACACTGTTTTATGCCCTTGTTTGTGCACACAACTTATGCACAAAAAAGGATATCAGAGGTACATTGTTTTATACATCTATCTTTATACACATGACTCGCGTACAAAGATAAAATAGGATTACGCACAAAAAAGAGTAGAAACGGATACTTTTTGCATAAAAGAAAAAGGAACTTGGGTCCGGATATCGGATTTGGCAACGTAACCCGACCCGCATTGTTGGCGTTCTCACGGTGACAGAACTGGCTACTCTAGCTCGATCGGTTAGGTTGAATTACGCCAGTGAACGGGCGACAGTTTCCACATTCCACACTCCATCTTCCGAAGTGAAGACGGCTTTCTTGAAACGAACCTCATCTATGGGTGCATCCGAGTCGGCTCTCTCAAGCTCACAGGTAGATCATCTTGTTCAGCATCTGAACTCACTATTGAATTTGACGTTTTCTCCGTAATCTTGCGTTTTTGTGATTTAGAGGTCCGTCGATGATATTACAACGGTTTCGGAGCGCGTAGAAAGTGCAGATCCGATCCTGGAGAGGCTGAGGTCCCTCCAAATCGTGAGCTTTCATTAGGTTTTTCAGGTTTGGTCTGTTAGTTAAACTGATGTTGAGTTCAAATGTGTGAAATTCATTTGAACTTGTTTTTGCAGTCCAAACCAATCCTGACGGCGCCACCTGCAGATAGTAGTTTGACAGATATTCTGGTGAGAAAGACGCCATCTGCTTTAAATTCAGGTATTTAATTAAATATTCTCTGCAGTTCCTCTTCTTGTTTGGAATATGTATACGTAATTAAACTTGAGGTGGAATATTTCCTTCAGTGATACTTTCTAACATTCGTGCTTGATTTTGGTTAAGCCTGTACTCGATTTTATAGCAATAAATGAACCACATCAAATGTCCATAATCCTTAGAGCAAGTGAACAACCTCAAAATATCCATTTTCATTAATGTTCTGTTTCTTATTTATGAATGAATACTTATTTGTGGTCCGGTAGACACCATAGGGTCATCCCACTTTGATCACATTTATTTTATTCAACTATGATTTCAAGAGGCAGCATAATGATCTTATGCAGTGCATTCTATTTAAATATTATTTTCCATTCATATCTATTATGTACTCAAGAGGATAACACTAATTAGAATTGATCAGGAGCTGTACCCTGTTGTTATGTTCTGGTCAGAAACCAGCAATGGAAATATTTTTGTCTCTATATTTTATAACTTAACGAAGCAATTTTAGGACATACCAGGGGTCCGTTCATGTAATTTTGTGAGGGAGGACGGGAGAGTCACCGGAAATGGTTCATAAAGGAGGACTTCGGGGTTGTGAAAAAGCTACTGACAATGATTGTGTAATGCTTAGTATTGTAGTGGTTATGTTTAAGTTTTCTCTTGCTAAAGTTGATTGTTTCCATTTCATTTGGCTCTCCTTGGTATGGTATAACAAAATATACTCATAAAAAAAGATAACACTTGTTTTGGCCAGGATTGAACGCCTATACTTATGGTATGTGCTTGTGATAGGTTGCCTAGACCCAAAAGTGCTACTGGATCTCTTTTGCATGTACCGTAATTGGCAAGAGGATAAGATTCAGAAGATCAATAAAAAACAGGTTTGTCACACACACAGACGTCACACACTCACACACCTAAGCATCTCAATAAGCCTGTTTTTTCCTTGGTGAGGGTGATATGGGAGACAGAGGATTTGACCTTTTCCAGATTCATATCTAGAGTGAGTGAGACAGAGAGACCTTGAGAACTCAGGAGTTTTAAACAATAGATTAGCTGGCTGATTAATAGTTACTGTTTTCTCTTGTCTGGATGCGTGATTGTACACATCCTTGGGAGGTTCTTTTGACCAGAGACAGAAAACTCTTCAAAACTCTTTTTATTCTAACTTGTATTGCCCCATTTAATTTCAAAACAGGCATAAAGCATTTGCATATATGCTCTTTTTCCAGACCTATTTTTGTCCCAACAAAGAGTCTGGTTTTCTAAAGTAAATTCAAAATTTAAAAGTAAAATTACTTTGAGACAAGTGTTTTTTTGTGAATTGCTCCATGCAATCTTGGAAGTAAGTCTTAGGGGTACAGCCATACAATAAGTGGTCATGCGCCAGTTTCTAAAGCTATAATTTATTTACTCGTTTTTCATGATAGAGTTTCATGTAAAGTTGATAACTTGCCGTAAAACTCATAAAAAAAACTTGCCTCAAAAAGTCCATACCATATTTAGGCTCTGTTTGCAACCACTTGTGCTTAAATAAAAGCACTTTTTGGGAAAAAAGTGATTAGTAGTAAAAGTTGGTAGTGTTTGGTAAAATAAGTGCTTTTTGTGTAATAGAAAAAGTAAAAAGTAGATTCTACATGAAAATCGAGGAAGTTAAAGTTGGTAGTGTTTGGAAAATTAAGTGCTTTTTTCTTAAAAAAAAAGCCAAAATCACTTTTTTTAATTGGTTGCAAACAAGCCCTTAATCCCATTTAGGCACAATTTTTATGGAATACAAAAACTTGCGGTACACCCTGGTGCATCTTAGTAGTTGAACCAATTACTGTCAAACCATTTACGGTACATTTCTTCTCATAGATTTTTTCTATGAGAAGAAATCCATCTGTAATAACTATTTGACTCTTTGGTGACTGATGCAGGAAGAGATAGATAATAAAATAGAAGTGGCAGATGCACTTGCAATTAAGCTTCAACAGCGATACAACTATTCAGTTTCAGCAATGAAAGCTACATCACAACATCTCTCAGGAGGTAACAATTATCATATATGGAAATGGAAATCTCTGGTAAATCACATGATTTATGCCAGTGGGGACAAAAGAAAATGCCTTTCTTGTCAAAGCTTTAAGTATTCATCTATACTATTTGTGCTATACTTCTCACTGGAGGGCACATTGGCAGTGCATTCATTGCAGGTGGAACTTGGAGAATTGAAGGGGAGATTGACTGAGTTAATCAGCAATTGCGATGCATTGTGCAAGAGGATTGATGAGGAAGGACCAGAAGTGCTTCGATCTTCTGTCAAACCATTTACAGCAGCCTCTGAAAACGTAGTAGATGCTCACTTATCAGCTTCTTCTTTACAAACTGACACCAATTACGGGCCATAACTTTTTACTTATTATACTTTTCCTTATGTAACACCAAATGTAACTTCCCCATATCTCACCTCCATACAGATGTGCCACTCATTTTTAGAGGATAATAGACTCTGCAGATACTGTTACTAATACTTGCACTCGGTGTTTTTTCTTCCCATTATGCTATGTACTTGAAATTAGTTGTGTTCAGATACTGTTTTATTTTCTTCTTCTATCAATACAGGAGGTGTTAGTGCGATTTGTGGCATCTAATTTGGTTGTGTTTGGAAAGTCTTGTTGGGTACAGAATGGGTAATACCAGTTTGGTTCTGGCTCTGATAGAATAGTTAGTTCTGGCTTAGTTTCTTGCCTGATTCGTGATCTATTTAAAAAAAAGTACTGGAAATGGCTGGCACTTATTTTGGGCATCTGAAAACAGACCCATTTAAGACTATAACATCAGTTTTGTCACAGGCAAAAAAATTGACCCAGCTCTAGTGCGAGGGGGGCCGTGTCCAAGCCTAATAATAGTCATGAGCAGCTCTAAAGCCTGAACAAGAAGAGACATCAAAAGTTGAAAAGCTTTTTATTAATTGCAGTTAAATGAATCCATGTAATTTTGATTGAAGACATCCTCCAGATATATCATCTCAAAAATATAAATATAAATTAAAAGAAAAACAGATTGGTTTGGGAAAAGGAGGACAAAACAGCAAACTGTATTGATTATACATAGCTAACCCTCTTTGGGTAGTGAATTGAGAAGGTGAGATTGTTATTATTATTCTCAAGGCTGTTGCTGGGCATCCATGTATCCAGCATCAACAAGCACTTTCTCCCTCTTAGCCATTTCCACATCTTCATCCACCATCATCTTCACTAGCTGCTCGAATCCCACATTGGGTTTCCAACCCAGCACCTTCTTCGCCTTGCTCGCATCCCCTTTCAGGTTGTCCACTTCTGCTGGCCTGAAGTAACGCTTGTCAATCTCCACGTGATCTTTCCACTTGAGCCCCACATAGCCAAACGCTACTTCCAGGAATTCCTGTACTGTGTGAGACTCCTCTGTCGCCACCACGTAATCGTCCGGCTTCTCCTGCTGCAGCATCAGCCACATTGCTTCCACGTAGTCTCCTGCGAACCCCCAGTCCCTTGACGCCTGCAGGTTTCCCAGGAACAGCTTGTTCTGGAGCCCGACCTTGATGCGCCCAACTGCTCGGGTTATCTTCCGCGTCACGAAATTCTCGCCCCGTCTGGGGGATTCGTGGTTGAACAGAATGCCGTTGCAGGCGAAGATCCCGTAAGCCTCGCGGTAATTCACGGTGTACCAATGAGCCGCGCATTTAGATGCGGCGTAGGGGGATCTAGGGTGGAAAGGGGTGGTCTCCGACTGCGGCGGCGGTGTCGATCCGAACATCTCCGATGATCCTGCCTGGTAATACCTGATGTGGGACCTGCCTGTAGCGGAGATGTGTGACCGCACGGCCTCGAGGAGGCGGAGCGCGCCGGTGGCAACGACATCTGCCGTGTAGTCGGGGATTTCGAATGAGACGGCGACGTGCGACTGGGCGGCGAGGTTGTAGACCTCGTCCGGAAGGATGATATCCAGCCAGCGGCGGAGAGAGGAAGCGTCTGTGAGGTCTGCGTAGTGGAGCTTCATTCGGGCTTTGTTGGCATTGTGAGGATCGATGTAGATGTGGTTGATCCTCTGCGTGTTGAAATTGGAAGATCTGCGGATGAGGCCGTGGACCTCGTAGGCTTTGTCGAGGAGTAATTCAGTGAGGTAGGATCCATCTTGGCCAGTGATGCCAGTGATCAGAGCAATTTTGCGCGGCTTTTGCAGTGTCGCCGGAGTTGGGGAAGGCATTTCCGTGCCGTTTACGGTGGAGGGTTCGGATCTGATACCGATGTTGTCACTGCCGCCGGTAGCCATCACGGTGGGAACGTTTGAATCGTAGCAGCAAAATGGGAAAATAGAATTCAGTTGAAATGGAACCGTTTAGGTTACACTATATTAGAAATTGATGGCACGTGTTAGAAAGTAAAAGGGAAAATGGAAACTAATAATCCAACCTTTTAGCGGTCTTCTTTTAATAGTCCGATCTTTGCATTATTCATGAATAATCCAACCTTTGCACCTCATCTTCATTCATTAGTCCCCGACCGGTTGATGACTTGCTATTCCGAGTTATTTTCTTATCTTTGCAAACTATTATACCATAAATTCCACCTTTCACAAAGATAATATTTTGCAAAGATAAGAAAATAACTTGGAATAGCAGGTCATCAACCGGTCAGGGACTAGTGAATGAAGATGATGTGCAAAGGTTGGATTATTCATGAATAACGAAAAGGTGGGACTATTAAAAGAAGACCGCTAAAAGGTTGGATTATTAGTTTCCATTTTCCCAAAGTAAAATTCTTCTTACTTATACAACTAGTAAGAAATTCATTACTTTCTTGTCATTAAAAGTAAATTGAATGATTAAGTTGGAGTAAGACAAGTGCCAAATTCATTATGGAACATTTAGAATGATTGAGATGACTAATTCAATGTAGATCGTTGTAGTTAGGGTTGGGCACCTTGATCCTATCACATATACAATTCAATTTGAATTTGGAAGCATTTCTTCCAAATCATATTAAATGGAACCAAATTAAAATTGAAATTGGGAGAGACGCCAAGTCATTTGATGCTGTATATCAAACTGGAGTGAGGGGCAATGGTGAAATCAGATGGTTGGGTTTCACCTAAAACCAAATGTCAAACCAAAGCAATTTTTTTTTATTAAGTTCAGTTTTATGATTAAAATTTTCAAACCATGGTTTGTTCGGTTGGGTTTTTTTCGGGTTTTGCTGATTTTTTTATATCAACACATATTCCTTCAGTAATAAATAAAAAAGTTACGTGAAAACAAACACAAGTAACTAATAATACAACAACAAAATATCATTGTCATGCAAAATATACATTATTACCTTCGTCACTTTTTATTTAGCCATATTTGACTTTTCCAGTTAATAATAGTAAACTTTGATCCTTTATTTGAAATAATATATTTATGTGAAAATTAATAAATTTATACTTTGATAATACTTTTAACAAAGAATATTTTCGTATCATTTTCATATTATCAATACTACCGTGTTTAAATATACGAAGTATTATCTATCAAAGCTTAACATCATTGACTTGAAGAGTCCATATTTGGCTAAATAAAAAGGGGCGAAGGGAATATGATTTAAAATATCATCATATAAGTATTATAGACTAAAGTGTATGTACACATGTTTTATTTAATTAAACCATAGGTATCAAATGTCAATATCTTGCAAATCATAATAAATCTAATATAGAACATTAACTTTCTTGAATTAAGAATTAAGAAATAAACAAAATATTATACCTGGTGACTATTAAATAAATAGCATGTTTTAAAAAGCTCGATTTGGTGAAAACCAAAACCAAACAACTACAATTTGGTTCGATTTTTTGAATTTGGTTTCGATTTTCTTGTTGTTCGGTTTGAAAGGCTTATGGACTATGGTTAGGGTTTTGTCGTTTCAATTTTAGGTTTTGCCGAACCACCCCTAGGTAGAGGATTGTGGCTTGGGGTGGGTATGTAGATGGGGCGGGGTGGGAAATCCTTCTTAAATCATGGTTCCTACATAACCTATCTTACATACCTTTCTGCTGCCTCAAGATATGTGTGCTCAGAAATTGAAAGACTTATGAATAGCTTTTGATGGAAAGGATTATCAAGTAAAGGGATTAGGTGAAAGGTGGAATAGTTTTCTGGCAAATATGTGGAAATTGTTTACCAAATTCACACAAGCTGATTTTGAAGAAGGTGGCAACTTTGCAGGTGTGTTGTCTTTGTGCAGAAGAGAGGGAGCCTGCCATCCATGTGTTCAGTACCTGTCTGGTTGCTAGGGAGGTTTGGGGATGATGAAATGGAAACTTCCTGTGCAACATTATCACTCCGTTTCAGATTGGGCAGAAGCTTTCATTCTTAAGCAGGAGGATATTTGCTGCAGATTTTTGATGCTTTTATGCAAAAAATATTGAAGAAAAGAGAAAACAAATAGTTTCATCCATGAAATCATGAAAGTGTATTTGAGTATACATTCTATACCTAAAAAACTACTATAAGTTCCAATATCTCCCTCCTGTCATAATTGTCTATACACAATTTAATCAACAGGCTTTAGCTTCCATTGGCTACTTGAGTCCGCCAACCTTGACAACTTCAGTTTGTCTGGCTCTCTAGAAGACTAACAGTTGTGCGACCAGCGACCCTGCCCAGATGCGAAGCTTTATTGAAATTAACTTGGTGAAATAAGTCTCTTCAGTTCAGAATTGGTGAGGCCAAAATAAATTAGTGAACTTTTAATTGATATACTATATAATGGCTCACTCACCAAGACAGATGTACCCGGAGTATAATATTCTTTGCAGTTAATATACAGAACGAAGGCAAGGAAGGCCACTATAGTAACATCATAATCATATATCAACCTGAGAAAATATACATTCCTTCACACACGGTTTTACTATAAAAGAGAAATCAAGCTGCGTTTGAAGCTATAGTAGTTTGGAGAAGCACGAGATCCAAAGTCGAGTCCAAACATTTCCTTGGGAGCCTGCCCGATGTCCATAAACCCGACGAGCTTTGCAACTAAGTAGGCACTGTCAGTGATGTGGGTAATATTATCCGTCCTGCTCCATAACCGGTTAGCCAATTGAGCCCTCCTAAGTTTTGTATGAAGTGTGATTCCCCACTTCAGGTAGAGGCTTTCACGTTCTTGTTCTGTTAACTTCTTGAGCATTTGCTTAGTCAACATCTTCTTCTCCACTTGAAGATCCTTAATGCTAAAAAACAACATACTCGTTTGTTAAGTATCCCATATCAAATGTTTACCATATACATATGCAGTGCCCGTTTAGTAATCTTGTTATTTTGGCTTAGTGGCCTTATCAACCAATTATTAATGAATGTACTTTTTTAGCTTAATTGGCTGAGGAGAACCATTTCAATTTTTCATATGTTTCTTTCTAAATTTAAAAGATTAAGCCTTTTCAACACATCCAATAATTTTATTGTTACCAAACGGGCTCCTAATACATAAGTGTACATTAGACCACATATTTGAGCATCATTTTAGTAAGTTAGACCTAATTTAATATGGTAGAAAATCCTAATCTGATTGGAGTCTGGTTATTTGTTTATTTGACATCAAATGTTTAAGCAACCCATTTAGGATCAGCTTGGCTTATTTATCACCAGAAGTTTTCCAGGGTGTGTTAAAGACTCACAGTGAATGAGAAAAAGTTTTCATATTGGGATTGCATAGCTTACTTTTGCTCAAGTGATAGGATACGCCCATTGAAAACTGTCTTCTTCTTCGTACGAGCAAACGTGTCCTTGAGGAAATAGAGTTTCCTCAGCTCTACCTCCATATAGAGGGCATCAGCAGAATCACCTCGGAAAAGTAGAAAGAAATACGTCCTGTGAACGAGTGAAACATGGCAAGCATGCCACAGTTCAATTATCTCTTTTTGGAGTCTCTTGAACTCTGAAGGCCAACTTGTAAGACCTTTGACTTCATCTTCTATTGGATCCAAGCCGACATCTTTGACGGTCTTCAATGGTGGTTTATCTGCTTCTTCATCAGTTTCCTTAACCTGTAGCACAGAAACATAGAAATTCACACTTCCAAAATGAATCAAGTTCTAACCACAAGAATATAAATCCATAAAATGCTGCATGTCCTTGGGTAATTTGACAAAAGTAATATCGCTTCCAGTTTATCTCTTATACATCATGAACTTGCAGATATTTTGGCTAAACTAAAATGATGAAACAGGTTAAGACTAATTAAGCAACATAGGAAATGCAATCTCGTATTTACAACACAAATTTTACTGAAAAATTATGACCACAACTGATATAAGATTAATTTTTTTCAACCATGGAAAATCATGGTTGTTGTTGGTGCATGGAAAATCATACTCCCTTTGTTCACATTTAATTGCTCACATAGACTTTTCATGGAATCTATGAGTAAAATTTTAGGAGTTGTGTTTAGTGTAGAAAAAATGAAAAAAGTATGAGAAGATGAAAATTTAGGGAAAAACTGATTTAAGGAAAGGTCATTTAGTCTTCTAATGTGATAGTAGTTGCGAAAAATAGAAAATGGAACAACGATTACCCCCCCCCCCCCCCCCCCCCGCACCCCATTTTATGCTTCATAATACATATTTCAGATTACGAGTTTTAACACATATAAATTATCTTGTCTTTCCTTTTAAAAAATAAATATGTGTTGATACTGCTTCTCTCTTCTTTAAACAAATTCAACCACACCGTTTCCGCTGGATCACTTTACTACAAAATGTCTGCTGTCAAGGCAGCTATATGTGTACAAATAAAAGTCCTATGGTAGTTATCTTGTATAATTATCTTGTCTTTGTCCTTTCACTTCTAGACACAATTTGTAGATGAGCGTATTTTAGGGTTTAAGGGTGGTACTTACTGCCACAGTTGAATGAGAGACTACTTCATCATGAGGGACAACGGCCATTTCCTTAGTCTCTTCATCACATGTATCACCACTATTGTCATTGGAAGAGTTCTCTTTCTGTGATGGTTCAAGCTGAATACCATCATCACTATCCGCAGATGGAACATAATGCTCTTCTTTAGAAACTTCTACATTAGCTCCAAAGTCGAACGAAGAAACTTCCATTTCAATAGCCAGAGGTTCTACATTCAGATTCCTCTCCAGACAACAAGGTGTTGTACTTTGAGGGTGTTCTACTTCTTCATTCCTTGGAGAGGATGGGTCATTAACTAGACTTTCTTCACAGCTTCTACTTATAGTTAATCTCAAGTCAGGTGAATCTGTTGCCATCTCCTGTGGTGACAATTCTTTGACTGGATAACTTTCTCTCTCGCCAACTGATGATGGAAGCACTTGTTTTTCTTCATCCTGAAAGAGTAATACCAATCCTAATCCACACTCTACTTTCAAGGGAACTTTTGGCAATACATTATCTTCCTCAAGTGGAGAAGATATAGTTCCCCTATCTGTTCCCCCTATATCTCCAACACAAATTCTTGCTATGGTTTTTTCTTCAAGTATTTCACCAATATCTTCTTCCGCTTCCTCTTTTTCTTCTTCTGCTTCTTCTTCTTCGTCTTCTTTTTCTTCGTCTTCTTCTTCTTCTTCTTCCGTATCAATACATTGAACTTCCTTGCATAGGTCCACTGAAACCCTATCACTTTGTTTCTCCACATCATCCCATCCTCGAAAAGAATCACTCTCGGTGAAGGATGAGGGGCTACTAACCACTACGGGCCGAGAAGAGTTACTACTGCGAAGATAGTTCTGTTCAAAGCCTGGGACATGTATGAATTGATCTTCAGAACTACTCCGGCTGTGACCATCAGAGCATGTTCTGACATCCGCATCAGGGGAGACAGGAACTCTTACAATGGGCATTGGCCTCTGATCATCATCTGATCTCCGCACTCGCAAATTTGGGTAGTGCCCATAACCAACCTGAACGACAACTGAACTTTAGACAGAAGAATGGATATGTGGATAATATTTATAGGTTATGAAGTTATGATGAGTATGTTTTACCCGTATAACAGAACTTTCATCATCCCGAACCTGGAGAGTATAAAAACAGAACTGTTAGCATGAATAAGTGGAAATCAGGGTTAGTGAACAATAGTTTTGATTAGTATTATTAATTAATATTTGGGGTTCCATCATAAAAGATAAACGGAATAGTATAAAATCTTTTATGTTAGTTGAGTACTTTAAATTTAGCTGATGTGCAAAATTCGTCACAGGCGGACTACTCATTGCAAGGAAGCCCACATCATGACTCAATCTGCCCTAATAATATCATAAGACCTCTCCATCCAAAGAGTTCAACATGATCGGAGGATAAGTCTCAAATTTTATATTAATTACAAGTTGCTAGTTTATTATTGTATATCTAACCGGCGTGGGAGAACTCTTCAACAAAATGTACCTGTAACATTGACTTCCTATCATCCTCAAGCAGCTGCAGCAGATCTCTTATTTGAGTTTGAGCTATGTCACGATCCAATTTTAAATCTTTTATTTCCTTCTCCAGCTAGAAATAAAAAAGACAGGAGCAGGAATTAGTATATATCACTGTCAATCTATCTATGTGAAGCTCATGAAATTTATTTTTCGTTTTAATCAGTGATACAAAACCTGTTATTGAGAGAAGCAAATCGTTCCATTTCATTTTGCAAAGTGTCGGTGTGTCAATTTTAGTATACATCAAATCAATCAAAATGAGGATGTTCATGGGCTAAATTATAGGTGGTGATTGAATTTACCTTTTCAATTTGAATATCCTTCTCTTGCACTGCACCATTATCTGCTAACATGTGAAAAGAAGATCTTGGACTCCTCAACTCACTCTCAAGCCTTGCTAGCTCCCTCTGCAAATGCTTTACTAAAACTTTGTCGGACATAACTACATTAACTTGAGCATTGGTAGACACTTCCTTGGCACAACTAGCAAAAAGAAGTGAGTTTCTGGATTGCTCAACATGAGACCGGGCTGGGCTAAGTGTGCAGATGATGGCTGTCTTAGCATTCCCTCCTAAGGATGATTGTAGTATCCGAGTTAGCTTAGAATCTCTGTAAGGAATGTGCCCATTTCTCCCCTTGCTGTTTCCAGTCACACATTCCCATCATAAATAAGTCAGCAGAAGAAAAAGAAGAAGAAATATAGACATTTTGGTCAAAGCATCTTGCATAGAAAATAAACCTTTTATTGTGGATGGTGCCCTTTACATGTTAATTAAATACATGAATGGCCATCTTTTGGATGGTTTGTTGGTTCACTGAATGAAAATATGACAAGGACCACACAAGGAATAGAATAAAGATAGTGTATAATAAGAATATATTCTATTGCTTGCTTTGTAAAGGAACCTAGACAAGATTATATAAGAATATGTATTCAAGTATTTGTTTATTTAATGTATTTATATTGTTAAAAGTATAGAAAAAGTAACATGGCTGTCATAGTTTAGTAGTATTGCAGTTTCATATTCCTATTAGGTTTAAAAGTTGACCTACAACTAAGAACCCAAAGTAAGAATGATACGTAGTACATTTGAAGCATAGAAAACATCTTATTTCACAAAACAACAATAAAATATACGTAGTAAAACAGTATAGTCCTTTTTTAAGGCATGCCCTTCGAGACAAAAGATCTCTTCTTTGTTATGAAGCAGCAGTCGTTTCTTGCAATTTTGGACGCGATTTTCACTATGGGTCATCCGGAAACAGTCTTTTTGTGCTATAGTGCAGGGGTAAGACTGCGTACATCCGACCCCCCCTTACCCCACCATAGGTGGGAGCCTTTTGCGGCACTGAGGTAAATGAAAAAGAAAAGAAAAAAAAGAGTTTTTGGAGGGAAAAGGGAGTTTTTTTTTCACTTTTAGTCCTCCGACTATTATGTCATTGACACTTTTGATAATCAACTTTGATTTTTTCCATATTTAGTCCTTCAACTTTCATAAAAGTGACACTTTTGGTCCTTTAACTATTATAATAGTGACATTTTTAGTCCTCCATTTATTGTGTCAAAATCATAATGGGAGGACTAAAAGTTTCAATTTGACAATACTTAGGGACTAAATGTGGGAAATCTTGAAGTCGGGGACTAAAAGTGTCTCTACCACAATAGTCGAGGACTAAAAATGGAAAAATTAGAAATTGAGTATAAAAAATCTCATTGACATAATAGTTGGGGGACCAAAAATGGCAAAAACTCGGGAAAAGGGGATGAAAGTTGTAGCTATCTAACTAACTGTAAGCACCTCCTTCAAGTTGTGAATAGGGAGTAAAAGAGAAAGGTGATGACCTTAGTTTGCGAATGACAGTGCCCAGGGTCAGTAAACTGCGATTTATATGACAGCCTTCTTTCAGTCTGGTGCCAGCTGATAAAGATTGAGATGCACGCTCACTTCCAGCCAAATCAACAAAGTTCTGTATTAGATTACAATGGGAGGGAAACCCAACTCAGATGATTAATTAATCCTGAAAACACCACTATTTATTCCACTCGTGGAGAAGGAGGGGAGGGAATAGTCAAGTACATGAGATTATTAATATGTAGTATTAGAAAATTAGGAGCACTAGGTATAATGTATGCTAGCATTTGAATCCAGTTTGGGCCAAATAGCAAATTACACATTACAATTTTAAAATAGAAAAGTAAAAAAGTGAATCACAAAGTACAATTGCTCTATTCGAGTTTTTATATAAAAAAAACAAACAGAAAAAACAGGCATTGCAATTGCTTTTTTGAACTTTCATGGACTAATATTTCTCCCTTTATACATTGACAAGAAGCACAATATTCAAACACGTATGGACATAGTTAAGGAATAGTTTAGGGAATGATATTATTATTTCCTAAGTGAGTACATGAAGTGGAATGACTTAGTGGGTGGGGACAGAGAAAAAATGTACGATTCCATTAACACTTCCTTGACCTTTCAAACAATCATAACCATCAAAAACTTTATATACGAAAATTATATTTTAGAGAACCAATACCAATTGGCCATAGGCCCATAACCATATAAATATTTGAATGGAAAAGAATATAATTCAGAAAAAGCATATCATTTGAAGAAAAAAGAACACACTATTTTTGACTTTAATGATTTCAAGAAGCTTTGAAGTATTCAACTGATTTGAATTTTGATGCTTCCGTGTTGGAAACGTATAGACGCACTTTTCTTCTATTGTAACAACCCATTTTTATCTTTCCCTCATGGGCTCATTTCAAGTGCTATTAAACTAGGAAAGTAGAAACAAATTAAAATGTAAGAAAATTTATTAAAAACTGAAATAAAAAATTACAATGAAAAAAAGGTTTTAAAGTACAGTGTACAATTTATAAACTTAAATAATATAATAAACAAGCAAAACGATTCATACAGATTTAAAAGTTACTATAAGTATGTGTGTATATATATGTGTGTGTGTATTTATATATATAAAAACAATTAAAAAAATTTAAAAAATAATGCTGTAGGATTTTTTACAATACAATTAAAGACAATAGATGAACATTAACTTTGGAAAAGTAAAATATACAAAATAAAACAAATAAAATATAATTAATATTATAAAATTTAAATAGCTTTAAATTTAAATGTTATACAAATTTAAATAAATCTATACAACTAAATTTCAAAAAAATCAAAGTGTTATAAAATACTCCGTATTACATTAAAAACAAAAAAAAAATCTGAAAAGAAAAAAAGTAAAAGAAAAAAAACAAATATAACTAGAATAACAAATTACTCCCTCCGTCCCACAAAATTCTTCCCAGTTTGACTTGCATCGGAGTTTAAGAAAAAAGGAATAAAGCGGAAATGTATGGTTGTGGTTGAGTAACAAAAGGTAAATGAATGATAGTCACACAAATATTTTGAGACGTCCTAAAAAGGAAAGTGGGAAGAATTTTAAGAAATGGAGGGAGTAATAATTTATAAAATAAGTAAAATTAATTTTAAGAAATAGATTGAAAATAAATAAGTCGACAACGGTGGTAATTCTATTACATTACATTATCGATTCCATTACGCACTCCATTTTATTTCATTGCATTGAGTTACTAAACATAGTCTTAGGATACGTTTACTTCACGGGTTACTAAGCGGTGCTTATTAAGACTTGCGTTAATAAGTGGCACGTAAAATAAGCAGTGCTATAAGCTCATGTTTACTTCACATGATTTAAGGTAGGGTAGGGGCGGGTGAAGTAGGGTTAGGGTAGGGGTTGGTAGGAGTAACAGTAAGGGGTAATGGCAAGGGTAAATTCAGAAACTTAAAAAGTTTAAAGTGCCGCGTAATTAATAATGGGGGGTGAGATGCTTAGTAAGCGGCACTTTAAGCACCTGTTTCGATTAGTAGATAGCTTTTAAGCAGCCTGTGTGTTTACTTCACTTGTCTTACTAACCTAATTGTGACTTTAGCAACAAAGTAAACACGTCCTTAGTGTTTTTATAATTTTATATTTAGACAGTGTGGGATGACCAGACTGTATTGAAAAACATACAACAGTACATATTGACACATGAGTGTAGACATGAGAGGATTGTCAGGATTCATTTATGAGTGTAGATGCTATGCTACCTGAGGTCTAATTGACACATCTTCCAGGATAGTTACATACATTAAGCAAGTCCATATCTTAAAAGAGATGCAAACATACCACAGTTGCTACAAGAGAGTTAGAGCCTTCCCTCCCTAAGAACTCTCTAGCAGAACTTTCAACAGTCTGCAACAAAGCACAAGCTCAAGAATGAAAACTACAATGACTTCATGTGAATGGAACTTTAATTTGTCCAAAATGCGTACCAATCTGATTATTTGGTGAGATCGGGAACTTGTTTCATTTAGGTTGGTTTCCCCAATCTGTCTTTGAGCTGAAAAGTCCACAGGTTCAAAATACATTGCAACCATGAAGAATGAAAATCATCACTAGATTGAAGCTTTTCCTTCGTATTACCTTCACATATGGAAAGAAGATTCATGACATGTTCCCAGTCTCTCACAGTTTCTTCTATAAGTTTCCCGACAACGGTCCCTCTCTGGTAAGATAGCCGGCCTATATGTCATCATCATGCAAATATATTTCTGTGTACCGCCTTTGGGAAAGATAACTCACCTCTGGATCATCCAGAAGTCTAAGTGGAGTATTATCTGAACACAGAAGGTCCCTCACTGACTCATTGTATATCTCCATTGCAGAGAACTTCAAAACATATTCTCTCTCAGCTTGCTGCCAAAACAAAAACAAAATAGTGCACCATATTATATCTGATATTATTCAAATTTGGATTGGGGTCGCTCAACTACGCAATGAGGCACTTGGTTCAAACAATTCTAAGAGATTGAATCAAATCTATTAGCTAGTTCAACTCAAGGTCTTATTGATATATCCTTTCATTTTTTAATGTCCAATGTAGGACTCTAACATTTGCTGCTAGTAACACTAAAATAAAATCAAAACAAGCAAACAATGAAGTGAAACTACAGAAAAAACCATAACTAGCCCAATATTTGACTTACTTCTTGTATATGTTGATATATATCTGCAATGGCATACTCAGTAATTCCAGACATGGTATACGTCTTTCCACTGCTTGTCTGTCCGTATGCAAAAACACTTGCTACCAAGTACATTCAACATTAACCAATAATAAAAGAGTAGATTAGTGCAAATTTGTTTTCCAAGACCAAGTCTTTTTTAACTCACAATTAAATCCGTCGAGAACCGATAGAGCCACTTCCTTCGCTGCGTCCTCGTACACCTTTCTTGTGGAGCAACCATGGTTAAATACACTGTCTAGAAGCCACACCCCACCCAAAAAAAAGAAGAAAGCTAAGAATGAGTACATAGAAGAAAACGTATATTGGCTTTATCACAGTACATTTAGAACGAAACACCATAAATCAAACTAAAATGATTCAAGAAATCTTGTGAAGAGTCCCACATCTTATAAGTGAAGAGAAAATGATGGATTGAAAAGATCCTGAATTGAACAATGAGTATATTAGATTCAAATTTTTAGTGTACTTTAACCCAAGTGTCTAACACTTACGCAATTCTGAATTCTAGTCTGTCAGTATTATGCTTATAATCTCCTGAATAGACAAAAGGGTACTTTAACCCAAGAACGAAAATGAACAATCCAAAAGGCTTGATGGCCAAATAGAATAGAAACATGGGGGGATTTGAAGATTTGCTTACCAAATACATAGGCTGCGGGATACATAGACCTCTCAGAGGCTGAGAGATGAGCATTCTTGTAGACAATGGTGGTGCCATTCACACACTCCCAATCGGAAACATCGTTCCTTAAGATCTCCTTTTCATTCAAAGGACGGAGGCGCACCGACACCAAAATCCTCTCCTGGCGTCCCCCCTCCATCGCGCCACAATCTCCCGGAGCATCAAAAGTAGCTTTTCATCCTTATTGAGGAAATGGGCCTCCACGATTTTGACAATATAATCACTGTCAATAAACAAGTTGCCAAAATTATGTGCCAAGAATGAAGCTTTTCTCCTCGTTGTTTAGGTAATAATAATATAATATACATATAATGCCCTCCTTGTCGTATGCATTTAAATTTAAGGTTGTTTTCCTTTCACTTCCAATATATGCAATGTTTTGTATATTCGATTTGATTTTCTGTATTTGTTTATGATGATGGAAATCGCTGGTCCCCAAATACAGACTGTCACAAGTGTCTTGATTCTTAATGAACGTTCCATGGCACACAAGAAATTTGGCAGATTAGATTGACAATTTTGAGTCTGCATTCAATTTTTCTTTCTTTTTTTATGTGCAATCAAACCCTGTATTCACCTGCGTATATGTATGTATATGGGGAAAATTCTTCCCTTGGGTCGTTGATGTGACTCGTCGATTGAAAGTTATAAGCAATTGTATGTATTGGTCAAAAGGTTGACGAACTCTCTGCCACTTTCTTTGAAGATCAGAGTTGAGAGAAACAGAGAGTCGACAATGGCAGTTGAATTCGTGGTCGTTTTCACCGTTTTGTTCCGCGGCCTTGGGTCCTCCAATTACGCACCTGTAAAGCCCGTTTACTCACTACGGAGTACAATATACCGCCCTTTGCTAACACTAAAAATGGACTGAATTGAACATATCTTTACTCACTAAATCAATGATTTATATTTAAACTTAATCCGTCCCAAACGGATTTACTATTCCCTCACCGTGTTGCACTACTGCATGCTTCCGATGCACTTTTTTGCGGTGACAAAAAACTTCAGATTATTTTGATCAAATGTAGTGCATTTTTAGCTCATTTTGAACAATTAGATGTAGAAATGAATGCACAAGATTCATTCTCAATAATTTACATGTTTATGGTACTAAGGAACAATTTATATTGCAATGTTTGTTGATCATATAAACCTCAAGATGTTATTCAACGTAAGTGATGGAGTATATAGACTCTGACCCCCCGGGTCTGCCGACTATTGGGCCTGGACAGCGGTTCACAACACTAGCAGACAACATTTGTATTGTTGTATAGTTTACATGTTCATTGTATGTACTAGATTGGCTTTTTATACTATCAGTCCATATATGTAACTGGGTCTGTCAGGCCCATATTAGACGCCCAGACCCGGATTTCCCTATATATACTCCTGATAGGAGGCATGTAAACATAACTCACAATTCATTCAACATTATACACATTCTTCTTCTCCGTTACTCTTCTTGATTCTTGTTCAAACTCTCCTTATTATACAGTATGAGTATCGATTATCCAACAAATGGTGCTCTCGTTGAGAGGTTTGAACACAATCAAGTAAGAAACCCTCCCCAATTACCCAAAAATTCACCCGAATCATAAAGAATCAACAAAAAGGTGCTCTCGAAAATTCAAAAAAGGAAGAAATCTAGATTTTTCCAGATCTGAGGTTTTCCGGCCAGATGTGAACTGACCGGTCGCCCGGAGCAGCTCACAGTCAGGGAAGGGACCAGATCCGACCCATTTCGGTGACCAGCAGCTCGTTCCTCATCCTCCGGCGTGGCACCGCCTCCTGCCGCCCTTACTCTTTCACCTACCTTCATCACAGCACCCTCACTTGCCACATGTCTCTCCAGCTTCATGCATCTCTAGCTTCATGAACAGTGTCCGCCATTAATGACCGCTGGGAAGCTCTGTCCTCGAGCCAAAGCCAACCTCAAAATCGCATGGGCCATTCACGACTGGGAAGATCTGAGCCGCTGATCTGGAATATCACCGTTCGTGGATGCCATGAGCTAGGGTCCGCCGCCTCTGTGTCAGCGCCTTCCGCCACACTCCACCTCTTTATTTCCGACAATTGTTGGAGCTCAACTTCGAATGACCTCCATTAATGGCTGTCAGGAGCTCCAGAAGTAACAAATGGGAGCCCCCCACCGGAGAAAGCCACGAACAAGCATGAATCGTTCACCCACTCTAAGGGCAGAGAGACGACGAACTACGGTGAGACCCTTGTCGACACAGCCCAGATCCAAACTCCCCCTCTCAGGCGGCGGTTTCCGGTGAGTTTTCCCTTGTCCGGCAGATCTCTCCGAGGGCCATCTCTGTCCACGACACGCAGGTGAAAGGGTTCTCCTGTGAAGAAAAGGCAGATGTTGACTCGGTCAAACATTTGTTCCCCTGGCTCCAGCCTCATGTCTAGCGAGGAAGAGAAAGCAGAAACTCATGGTTGTCAAGCATTGGTAGTCTTCCGATTCCTTATTAGACAATTGGCCCCAAAGCTATTCAGCATGATGCGCTACACCAACGCCAGTTTATTAGTTGGGCCAGAATCTTTCTCAGCAACATATTTCATCCCAAGCAGTCTAATTTTCAGCCCACTTCAAAAAGATAAGCACTCTTTAATTTTCATATTATTTATATTTATTTAAATCATTTTTTGTCGGGTGAATGTCACACTATCACGCACTTATGATCAAATGCCTAGTCGAGTGTGGTTTGAGACCCATCACTAGGATTTAAAGCCCTGACCCAGATTAGGCACAAAGTCCTGACCAAGATCAGGCACAAAGCCTCGACCAAGTCGGGCACGAAGACAAAGCCCTGACTAAGTCGGGCACGAAGACCGGTCTTAGTCATTCCTCGAGTGGCGACCATTGCTTACGAATGGCTCACACATCCATTCTACTAAGTACTTTATCATTACATTAACAATTCACATCTCCACTTGTTTCAAGTGACGAACTCCTGATCGGAAACATAAATCCCAAGAAAAAAATTTATATGTATGTTAAATGTGTAGGTACGAATATGACTTTACTCATTTTCACCTCGTCTCCACTCGCCTCAAGGAGTGAGGGACTGGGGGACTGAGGGGTCAGAGTTTCTAGATGAGCAGAAAATATCACGCATAAGCAGGAATGAGAGCTGAGGTTGATACAAAAAGGGGCTTTGCCTAAAATATTACTAAAAATGGACCGTTAACAAAAAAAATGACCTTTTTTTCAAAATTTCCAGAAATGTGACCAAAGAGTTTTACACTTACTGAATTGTCCCTAATTTCCAGTTACTTACTTATAGTTACATGACCCGACACAGTGACATCCACCGCAGGGACACCCGTCACAGTGTCGCCGCCGCTGCCATCCGGGGACCGCCGCCGCCAGCCGGGGACTGCCGCCGGCTGATGACCATCACCGGCCATAGTGACACCTCCGCACAGTGACATTTCCCAGTGACACCACCACAATTACTCCGTCCATAGTTACTCCGCCCAGTAACCAACATTGTCCGGCTAGTAACCACTACCGTATCAAACCGGCGCTGCCGCCTACGTACCGCCACCGCCGAATTGACTCTCCAGCCACCTGGCCCACCTCCTTAACCCTTACCAGCCTCCAGCCACCTCCCCGGCCCCTCCTAACCCCCAACCACCTCCCAAACGGCCAACTTCCAGCCCACCGCCAACGCCGTAATCCTGGCCGCAGCCTCGAACTTCCCTCCACGCAACTTAGCCGCCGAATAACCTCTCCATCGAAGAAGATAAGGGATTTCAGCGAGATGCTTCAAATCTGGATCTTCGCCATTCCTGGATACAAGGAGAAGAGCAGCGATTGCATATGCTTGGTGGCAGCGTTAGTAATGATCGCGGCAGCGATAGCAGAAGTTCGGCGGCGGCATTTGTACCTTCCACCAGCGTCGGCTTGCCATCGCCGTCTATCACGTAACCGCCTCTGCTAGCCACCGCCACGGTCGTTCGCCCTCTCCAACTCAAATCGAACAGTATCGCTATTCAATTAAGGAGAAGAAAAAAGGATTATTAGAATATGGGGTTTTAAGTTGGCGGCAGTGAGATTCAGTTGGGCGCTTGATATGGGAGGGGGAAGGAAGAAGGTCGCTGGGGGAGAAAGGCGGGGAGAGGTCTAGGAAGATGCACCGGATCCAGCCTGTAATGCAAGGACAATATGGGCTTTTCATTTAAAGTTGATCAGTTTTTTGTCCGTATTGATCCCCGGTCATATTCTTGTCAAATTAGAACTCATTAGTATTATTTTTGTCATTCTTCCATACAAAAAAGTGAAGTGTCTTGATAAAGTGTTTTTTGCATCCTAGCTTGTCTCCACAATCAAGCGATTAAATCCAGATTATATATGTTGAGGTTTGTTCCTTCAACCCTTGGACCCAACACGTAAGCCCAAAGATTTCGAGTGGAGTGAATGTATGAATATCTAGCCCAACAACTATCAGATGGATCAGGAAACAAAGGAAATAGCAGGCAATGTAAATAGGTATTATTAACTTCGTAATAACTCCCCTAAGTACAATCTACTTGCTAAAAAGGGCACGTCGGCCGTTCGTCTTACAAGGCAGTAGAAATGCTGCGAGTAAGAATACAATAGCTAGATGCTAAGAATAGAAAGTTGCCAACCCTTTTCAATGAAATAAATGCTACTATTTATACCCGCCAATGGGCAGTTAGTCCTGATGATGTGGAGGATTGTTAGTGGCTGTGGTCCAACCACCAAATCTCCAGCATTAAATGCGCTTCCCGCCAGAATCTGGGTTCCCCGCCTAATTCCTGACCACGATCGTCTGGTAGAACCGGGGGCCGTTCGTCTGCGGCCCTTTGTAGGATGTAACAATCTTCTGGGCCTGGGCCATCTACGGAGATGGGCCTCGGCTGACGACGTTCGTCATGGATGTGCTAACCGACCCTCGGCCGGGACCTTGTGCTGTTATCCCGGAGATAGACATTCGTCCTCATCCCTTCAGGCCAGGGCCACCCGTGGGCTGGGCGACGTACGTCGGTTTGGGGGTAATTGGGCCGGACCCCTGCTTGGGGCCATTTACCCAACACAAGTCCCCCACTTCTGATGTTCCAAGCGTGCGTGGGACATAAGGAAGTATGCTGTGCCTCCTGGAGGATGCCCGTCTTCCGTACTTGCCCACGGGGAAATGGACGTACCTGATCGAAGGGCACCCCGAGTTGGGCGACCGCGGGTGAATCGAG